TCAGAGAGAACCCGTCCAGATCAGAGAGAACCCGTCCAGATCAGAGATCCAGATCAGAGAGTAGCCCTGTGTGCACAGCAATAGCAGCTTCCGAGAACTTGAGCAGAAGGCAGGTTCTCGGGCTTCAGTTTGCATGCCTGCTAATACGGAAACACCACATTCTAGGTCTGTGGAGGGGTGTTAAAATCGACTCCGCTCGGAAGGAAGGGATTTTCAAACATCAACAAGATTTAGTATTCACTTGGGGTTTGCTTCTGTCTAAAATATGGAGATTTCTAGGCTCTCCCTCTTACTCTTATATTGTTGTTTTTGGGAACGAGGCTTAGGATTTCAAATGTTTCAGCAGCTTGGGGTTGGGACTGACCTATACATGGACTGCTACAAACTTCAGAAGCCTCCCCTAGATTCCACAGGTTGCTTCTGGATTCCTAGTTATTTGGATTTCTCTTTAAAGGTGCTGAGTACATGGTGAGTGCTTTACCACTGTGAAACACTCAACTTTGAATAATCCAAATGTAAAGGATTTATACTCCCATTAAAGAGGAGCCCCTAACAAAGCGGGGTGTGATGCTATCCCGCGTTAAATGGTCTGCTTCTTCATTAGGATAAAGGAGTACACTTGACAGTCTGCAAAGCTTTGGGAAGAAGGAATGGATCTGTCACTCTACGAAGCGTACAACCTGTTGGTTGATGAACAAGTAGGGGTTCATTTGTAAGGTCCTGGTTTATGCAAACCAGGGCATTCTTGGTGTTCACATAGTCACTCAGCGTTCAGCACCCATTCTTGGAAAAGAGTGGAGCATCTTTTGCCTGTAAAGTGATTACCCTTAAAAAGAGAGATGCCCTGAAGAGCTAGAGCGAACCTGGGGACGCCGTGTGGATGAGATCAGCGGTTTGTCAGAACAGCTCTATGGAATCTCCTTGAATTTTAAGAGCAACAGTGGTTTGCTGTACGGAGTGCTTGTGCCTCTGTCTGTGGTCTTAGTCACTGGAGGCAACCGTTTGAAGAAGCCAAAGAGTGTGTCCATACCCTGGGCAACTTTTAACAGAAATTATGCCTACAGAAAGGACGTACTCGCCTCCACTCCTTATCTAGTAGGATGTGTTCTGAGAAAAAAATCAGGGCGATGATTTAGACATGCCTTATGTATTATTTACTTTTAGATAGTTTCTCTTGATATAGGTCTCTTTCTGCTGTCTACACTGACTTCAAATGTTTGGGTTCAAGCTATCCTCTTATCTTGCGCTTTTAGTATCTAAGACAATTGCTGGGTGCCCCTGTGCCTAACCCCGAACATTAATGGATAAATATTTCATTCCCAAATATATTGGAAATTACAATCAGGCTGGTAATTTTAGAAGAGCCCAGGGTTCTTCTTATATTTTTGAGCCCACTAAATATAAAAGCAATTAGTTTTGAACACCAAACACATGATTATAAGACGCTCTGGATGGCGCAGGGCTGTAATTCCAGCTACTTGGAAAGTCTAGTTAGAAGGGACAAAGTTTGGTACTGCTTAGGCTGCAGAGGGAGTTTCTGGCCAGTCTGGGGTCATATTTTAAAAGTAAAAAGAAGACTGGGCCACACACAGGTCAGTGTGAGTGCTCTCCTATGCCAGTCTCTAGGATCAATTCTCAGTCCCCCAAAGACACAAAGACCCAAATCACAACTGTACATTAATACAAGAGTCATGACCCATGTCACTATCCCCCCTCTGTTTTTAACTTTAAAAAGATGAATCAACGACTTTAGTGGGGTATTCTGAAATGGGAGCTGACTCCAGCATCGCTCTGCTGGGCACGGTCGTCCTCCTGAGAACAGCATAAGAAGCTTACTTAAAAAGTTAAGGAACTTCTAAAGTTTTTGAATTTTAAATGCAGGACAAATTAACATTAAAAGAGTCCTTGAATATACTTCGGGTTTCTAATCCTATTAAAAATACATATCATCTCCATCACACGCCAACATAGGCACTGACTGTCTAGTTCTCAAAGTCAATGCCAAGCCAGTGTCGGAAAAACTCCCCGGGGTGTTAACAGTTTCTCTTCTCTTAAATATCTTGCAGCCCCTACCCCTTTCCTGCTTTAGGCAACTAGACGTTCACACTTGCATCCTCTGAAAAAGATGAGACAGAAATTCAAAGGTCCACAGAAGAGC